AATACTTGGGATGTTTGCTGAATGAGGGTTGGGACCCCGAGAATGAAATAAAGAGCAGAGTTGAACAAGCCAGAAATGCTTTTTTGAGGCTTCGTAAGTTTCTGACTGATCGCAAATTGGACTTCAATCTCCGGTACAAGATGCTTAAGTGTTACGTGTGGCCTGTTCTGCTGTACGGAATGGAAGCATGGACGTTAAAGGCCAGTTCCATTAACAAACTTGAAGTGTTTGAAATGTGGTGCCTGCGTCGAATGCTCAGAATATCATGGACGGACAGGGTCAGAAATGAGGAAGTACTCAGAAGAGCGGGCTTACAGGATAGGGAACTTTTTAATTATGTAAAAAGTAAGAAGACTGCATACTTGGGGCACATTATACGAGGAGAACGATACACTTTTCAGCAACTGATACTCGAAGGGAAGATAGAGGTAGGAGAGGTCTCGGACGTAAAAAAATGTCATGGCTGCGCAATATTCGACAATGGACAGGAATCCACAGCTATGAAATGCTTCGCAATGCTGCTAAAAACAGAATTATTTAAACCAGATTATTTAACATCTCACCTGACGAGACGATGTACGGTGGACGCCTACGCAGAAATGCACGGCACCTTAAGAAGAAGAAGAAGAATAGTCCATATAAGTTGTTACTTACCGATAGAATTCTTTATAAAGCAATATACTGTACCGATTGTACTAATTTGCCGGTGGATATAATTGGGAGACAGCAAGAAAAAAGTGGTGCAATCGCTCGGCGTGGTTGGGAAATTTCCTTTTGAAATAAAATTCTGCAAGATAACCTACGCAGTGGTCTTGCTTTACTTCGTATTTGGGAATGGTGGAACTCACTTTCCTCCAAATTCTTTCCACGTTTTTCATGTGAGTACCCGTTTCAGGATCGACAAATTACTTAGAATGGTTAACGGTTTGGTGATGAAATCCTTTGTTTATATAAAACTTAAGAGGTCGCTGGTTAAATGATATTAGATAATTAATAATAAAGAAAATGCAATACTTCGAATGCAAATAAAAGTACCGAAAATAGCAAATATTTGAAGCAAATATATTTAAAATAAAATGTTGTAATTCAAATAACAATTGGAGATTTAATAACTTATTGTCAACTCTATATGAGATTCACTTACCTTTTGTCTTTGGTTGGGCCCCGCTCGGAGTCTAAGGTCTAAGGGTAAAATGAGATGAACACTGATACTGGTTTGCTTGCATTACCGACGAGAGGTTGTTGCAGAATAGCCCGATAATAGGAAAAAAATACATATGTACGCAAATCCACTAGGGTGGTTCTTCTGTTCTTAGGACCTAGGAGATGGTCTACTGGTTGCTGTGACCATTTCCCAATCTATAGAACTTGGCCTTAGTCGGCCTTTGGTCTATGTTGGTTCGCTTATCTGCATTATTTTAAATTATTGAGGCCAAAAAGTGCGTGTTTATGAGTATTCTAAGACTTTATTTGCTCCTCGTAAATTCGCCATTAGTCTTCTTTAGGAAACCTAATTCTTTATTGATAGTACCATCCTTTGCCAGGACTTTATGGATTCAAGTGCAGGCAGGGATATCCGCAATCTCCTTGAAAAACTCTCTAAATGAATTCCTTTTAGCTTTCCGAATTTCTTTATTGTATAGCGTTAGATTATACCTGTAGACGTCCTAGTCTTGGTTACTTTTGGCTCTGTTAAATAGGCTTCGGACTTCGAACCTTAGCTTCTTTGAGCCGTTGTACCACCAAACTGTATTACTATCCATATTATTCTTCCTTTTTTCTGGACAGTTTTAATGGTAAACCGCCCTAATAGCTTCAGCAGCAGCTTCTGCTGCTGAATTTATGGCCTCTACGTATTTAAACAAATTTATACTTTTCCAAGATTTTTAGTGAGAGACTCTCTGGATCAGGGGTCTCCAAACTTTCCAGCCTTAGGGCCATACTGATTACTCCAGTAAGTTCCGAGGGCCAAGATGGCAACACTGTATTTTATATATATATATTTTTTTATATTTTATTATTATTTATATATTTTATATATTTCTGTATTTTATGTGTAATAGAATTTTGCTGAAGTGTGGATCATTTTTTGTAAAATAACGAATAATTTAATTTTTTGTAAGTGTGGTAAGCTGTCAACATTAAGTATGTCAAATATTCACCTATTTTTGATATATTTTAATTCAATACAAGGTAGACATAAACAAACAAAATATTTCCACCAGTGGAAATCTCCAATCTCTCCCGAAATTGTCCACTAACAACATAATTATTGTTTCTACTATTTTTCAACGCCATCGTTAAAAATTGTCACAAACACACTTAACTATCCGAAATAATAAGAAGTCTGAAAAATAATAGCCGCAAATCACTTAAGTGTTACGCACCTGATAACTGGGAGGAGACTAAAGACCCCACTTAAGTGGGACGAGTGCGAGGACGAAGTGATGACAATAGTGGCGTAACTACAAGTCAGTTCCAATGAAACTGTTGTGAAATAAAATAGGGCGTACCTCCTTAAAACAAGTTTGTGCGTGTAACAGTATTTTGATTTGATTTGAATTGTTGCTTTTGTGTGTGATTTAGTAGAATGAAAAAGAAGCGAAAAATTGATAGTGAATGCAGAAAATTCAAAGATCAGTGGAACATTCAGTATTTCGTAATTGAGTCCAGTAACAAGGCGCTATGTTTGATTTGCAATGAAAGCATAGCCGTTCTTAAAGAATATAACATGAATCGTCATTATGAAACAAAACATTCTTAAAATTACTCAAAATATACAGGAATTGGGCGGACAGAAAAATTCGAAGCTTTGAAGTGCGGATTGAAATCGCAGCAATCTTTATTTACAAAAGTCAAAACTGAACAAGAGGCGGCAACTCGTGCCAGCTTTCGTGTGGCTCTTGAAATTGCAAAACGTGGAAAACCATTCACCGATGGAGAAATGATCAAGGAATGCATAATTGCAGTAGTCGAAGAAATGTGCCCTAAAAAGGTAAATTTATTAAAAACTGTCAGTATGTCAGCAAACACTGTGGCTCGAAGGGTAGAAAACATCGCTGAAAATATATCTTCTCAACTGTTCGACAAAAATGGACATGTTGAGTGGTTTTCTTTGGCCTTGGATGAGTCAACGGATGTGTCAGATACTGCTCAGGTGTTGATTTATATTAGAGGAGTAGATAAAAGCTGTGAAGTGCACGAAGAACTTCTTGATATGTATAGTATTCATGGCACAACTACTGGTACCGATATTTTTAAAGGAGTTGAAATGGCCATTAATAAAAAGAACTTTCGATGGAAAAACTTGAAATGTATTACAACTGATGGAGGCAAAAACATGAGTGGGAAAGATAAAGGAGTGGTCGCTCTTGTGTCAAAGAAAATGTTTGGATATGTCTGACGTTCTGAAACCAGTCATATCAACTGTTAATTTCATCAGATCTTTTGGGTTGAATCACCGACAATTCCGACAATTTATTGCAGAGATTGGAGAAACAGACTTACCTTATCATACTGCCGTACGCTGGCTTAGTTGTGGGAAAGTCCTTCAGCGCTTTTTTGAACTTCGAGCAGTGATTGAAATTTTTTTGAATGAAAAGCACCGCTCTCTTACTGAATTACAAAACAACGCATGGCTATGGAAGTTAGCATTCTATGTTGATTTGACAAAACATGTGAACGAACTGAATTTGAGATTGCAAGGAGAAAACCCGCATCTTCCTGATTTATACACTAATATCAAGTCATTCCGGATGAAATTGATACTGTTTCAATCACAACTACGAAGTAAATGTTTTTCACATTTTAAAACATGTGAAATATTCAGCCACACTACTGAGACTGAATTTCCTGTCGATTTTGCAATCGAAACTTTGAGTGCTTTGAAGATAAATTTTGATACTCGTTTCTCGGACTTTGATGCCATTGCGAATCAAATTAAGATTTTTCAGAATCCTTTTGATGCTGACATTGAAACCCTAGCTCCGGAACTTCAAATGGAAATGATTGATCTTCAGTGCAGTGATATAATTAAGAACAAATATGAAAACTCATCTTTGTTGGAATTTTATAAGAGTCTTCCACTGACACAATTTGATAATTTGCATAAATTTGCTCGTGGGCTGTTTTCCGTTTTTGGTACTACTTATTTGTGTGAGAAAACCTTCTCCAAAATGAAGTACACAAAAAATGTATACAGATCTAAATTAACTGACCAGCATCTTAAATCTTGTTTAATAATTGGTACAAGTAAAATTAGTCCACAACTACAAACTATTGTCGGTGGAAAATCTCAATTACATATATCTCATTAGCATTTCATATGTCATGTTTGTTAGAAGGTATGTGTTGTTCATTACTTACAATGTATAAAATGTTAGTTGGATTCATTTCAATAATTTGTTAGTTATTATAATATGCTGAAGTTAAATTTACTGCATAAATTATACATGTCTTTACTCATTACCATTCTGTGTTTCTTTATCCAACTTATCACAAACATTTTATTTGCTATAAAAAATATTTGTTCTCTAAAAGGAGTTTTCAAGTATGTCTCCGCGGGCCGGACAAAATCTGTCTGCGGGCCGGATGTGGCCCTCGGGCCGTAGTTTGGAGACCCCTGCTCTAGATCATACCTAGTTTGTGTTTCTAAGATTTTCTGTCCATGCTTGATTAGTCTTTATCAATGTTCTTGCCGCGTTTTTTTGTTATCTTTGGTATTTTTATTAATACTTCTTTTTCCAACATTTTTATCTATTTTATTTCTCTCGTTAAATAATTAGTTATATATTGGACATACGAGTACATTTGTACGATATCAATAAAGTTACAACTTTATTGATATCGTGTAAATTTTCATTTTTGAGTTTCAACTTCCTATTGGCCCCTTAATATCTGTCCCCTTAATATCTCCTTATACCATTTTTTTATTTATATGAAACGATTTTGTTCCAATTTAATTTTTTAGGTCTTACAACCTATTTTCTATAATTCTTTTCAAGATTATTTTTATTTTGATGTGTTTGACAACTTTTTTAACAATCATCCCTTTTTTACAAAATTATATCTTCACCGTCATCTTTCAGAAGTGAATATCATCAGTTTCATCATCATCATCATTCTGGCTTTACAACCCTGCGTGAATCCTAGCCTATTCAAGAATTTCTCTCCAGTCGTCCCTATCCATCGCCTTTCTCCGCCAAGTACGTATTCCCATATTCATCATGTCTTCATCGAGGTTATCAAGGAACCTTGCTCTGAATCTTCCTCTACTTCTCTGACCAATGACTCTATCAAGAGCGTTTTTCTAGCTGGGTTATTTTGTTCCATCCGCATTACATGCCCTATCCACCTCAGACGTATTATCTTTAGTTTCAGAAACATGAATTATTTGATTTTTAGAGCGATATGACAAGAGCGAAATAGATTTTTCGTATAAGCAGTTGCAAACAGTGACACTTATTACAAAATAAATATTTATTAAAAAATATGTACACATAACATCTTAAATCCCGAAATAGAGCAGTCTTAAATATAAAACAAATTTACAATTAGAAAAGACAAAAATAAAATGTCGAATTTTATTTATTTTACACAATTATTAATGACATCACTTTGGTCCATGTTGCGCTTGGAATTCTTTCATAAATTTAACTAACAATTTAACGTCATCTAATGAAACTGCATTATATAAACTAGCTCTGATTCCTCCCACAGATCTGTGACCTTTTAATTGATACATTTTGACTTTCTCTGATTCTACTAAGAAGAGTTCTTCGAGTTTTTCGTTGCCTCCTCCTACTCTAAATGGTACGTTCATTCTACTTCTAACGTCTTCATCAATTGGGCAAGTGTAAAAACCGTTAGATTCAACCATGGCGTTATACAATAAACTGCTCTTTTCTATCGCTAGTTTTTCCATTGCTTCGAGACCTCCGTTCTTTTTAATCCACTGGAGTACCTTCTCCATGACGTAGACTCTGAAAAAAAAAGAATATAAGAATATTTGAATCAATTATTCTCTAAAGAAATAGATAATGGTAATGGAATCTGGATCGTACAATCACTTCAGAAACAAACAATCGAAAAGAAACAATCACTAATGTTTTTTGCGAGAATACTTTCTCATTATTAAATTTGCCTACCTACAAATTGTTTGTAGTGAGCAGATAGTTCGAAATCAGAACTAACAGGGAGCAATTCCATATCAACTACTTGAATGTTATCAATAATTTATCCATCCGCAAAGGGACTCACATTTTAATTAATGAATAAAAGTGAAACAACGTGACTATCTTTTTAAATTAAATTTCTAATTGTGGATTGTCTAAACACAGTTATCTTTTAACTGGTAACTATATTCCACCTTGTTATAGACTTAATTGAAAGGTCTTGTCTAGTGTCAAATCTAGCAACCATGTAATTTGTAGATTGCAGGTTGTAAATTTCAAAAAAATCGTTTGGCTTTGTAGTCTTCGTAGCTTCGTAGATTTTTTATGTATATCATATATCTACGACTAGTTTAAACAACCGCTTCTAAGAAAGATTAGTTTCCCTTTCTATGATACCTTTGTAACCTGCTCAGCCATTAATCTGCATTTTCGTATAATCTTTGGAAATGCGAATGTATTCTTTTTGTTTTTTTCTGTCACTGAAATGTATCAAAAGATACTCATATGTATATATCATTTTCAATAAATCATTACACAGATTACTTACGAGAATGTTGCTGGAGTGTTGTGTACAGAGTTTTCTTTGGCTATGTAGGTGAAGTCCATTACGGATGGGCAGCATTTCATTGGATTTCCTAGAAGATCTTCACGGACAATAACCACTACTACTCCCGCAGGTCCAATATTCTTTTGGGCACCAGCTATGATGCAACCGAATTTCGAGATGTCTAGTTTCTTGGTCATTATGCTAGATGACATGTCAGTGACTAGAGGAACACCATTGGTCTCGGGAATGTAATGGAATGCAACACCTAAAAAAAGAAAACATTTATTTTAGGTTAGAAAGCAATAATAAGTAAAATTATAGAAAGAGAGTTAATGATAAAAATGTTACAAATTAACTATTTTACTCACCATCAACAGTTTCATTATCACAGTAGTATACGTAGGAAGCATTTGGATTCATTTTCCAAGTGTTTTGAGGAGGAATACTGCCTGGTTTGTTGGCTTTTGGAAACACTAGATTAACGTTTCCATATTTGGATGCCTCTTTAGCTGCTTTGTCGGACCATGTACCAGTCACGGCATAATCAGCGGTTCCGGTTCTATTCAAAAGATTCATGGCAACTGCGGCAAAAGCTCCACATCCACCGCCTTGCATAAGCAGAATCTTGTAGTTGTCCGGAACATTACTATAAAAGATATATGGTTAAATGTATTATATATTATTCCAAGCAAAAAGAAAATGTCACCAATATGTAATGGCTACGTATTACGTAAGATTTGTATATTTTTTAGACAAGTTAAGTTAACACGTGGCATTTGTAGGAGTTACTACAGTAAATCCAAACTATCTTCTGTGATATTAAGAACAAGATTTTTTGTTACATTTTGTTATTACCCAAGCTAACTTGAGAAAACAAGAAAAAACACTAGACAAGGCTGCACATAATCTCCAAGGTTATTTAACCTATTTACTGTTGTTCGAAATAAATGGGAAGGAGACATTTCAGTAGGTAGAGTCAAGGTGTTTAATCTTAGCTTTGCCGATGAAACATTGTTTGCAGCCCAATTTATGGAAGAGCATACATTGATACTCGACAAATTAAAAGAGTTAGCGAGGAAAATAGACTACGAATTAATAAAAACAAGAAAAAAGTAATGATTATCGATAGCACCAACTATAGCAGAACAGAAATTCATAATGCCGCTCGATCTGAAGTAGTTAAAAGTTTTATTTATTTAGACAGCACCGTCAATAACAATTAAGCCATGAACATAATATTCGACTACGTATATAGATGGGTAGAACCGCTATGTCCAACCTCACTAAAATATGGAAAACATACACATAAGAAAAAGCACTAATATCAATCTTGTACGAACACTGGTTTTCCCAATATTTAGCTATGCCTCTGAAACGTGAATCATCCGAAGAGTAGATAGGAAACAAATAGATGCATTTGAGATGTGGTGTCGAAGAAGAATGCTTCGAATTCCTTAGACAGTCAGAAGATCTAATACATATATTCTTGCAGAGATTAGAAATCCACAATGTCTTTTCAGTTCCAAATATTCAAAAATATTATCATTCTTTTAACACATGTATAACAAGTACCGATAATATGGCGAGAATAGTAGTTCAAGGAAAAGCGGAGGGAAGAAGAAGTCAAGGTTGATCACCAATCGATGGACTAATACAGTCAAGCTATTTATTAACAAATTATTTGACGAACGATAATGACACGTACGTGCCACTTAAAATAAGGATATAGGAGATGAAGAGACAGCGTAAAAAGAGAATAAGATTCTGGACAAAACGCAACATTCATAATAACTACGTAACTGTTAAGATACATAGATTGGAAGAAACGAACCTAACTTAAAATTAAATTTAGTATTTTTATGATGATACTTACAGAAGCTCCCTAATAACCGCTTGTGAATCTTTATTGATTTTGGTATATTCCTTGCCTCTGTGGCTCATTTCAATCAAGCTCATTCCTGAATCCTGGTAGGAAAGGAATTCTTTTTGGACCTCTTCTAGCACCTGCAACAATACAATAGTTTTAGTATAAAGATAATTTTAAATCAATAGTAATTTATAGTTTATTCGTCTTCCGGGTTTGGACCGTGTCATCTGTGAGTGACCCAAAAGTGGGTTCATCTCGACGTTTCGCTACAATTGTATGTAGCTTCTTCAGGAGAACAAAGAAAAAGAAAAAGAAGACAGGAAGATGGGTAGTTAGCAACGATAACTCAGTTACTCAACGCAACCAGAGGCGAATACTAACTACCAAGATGGGCATTTGGTCACAGTAACTCAACTACTCAACGCAGCCAGAGGTGAAAACCAAATGCCAGGACAGGGATTCACGTCCAACTGCTCAGAACACTAACGCGTCGAGAGGCGGGGAGTGAATCAATAGTAATTTTAATTGTCTGGAGAGGCGAATATATTGGGGAGGTATTCGTTTTTTAAACAGGACGTTAAATATTTAAATAATCCGAAGACCAAAAAATTTGTAGGTTAGAATTCCAGATCTGCTTCCGCTAGTTAAGCCAAAACTGGTATTCCTCAGTTAATACATTGGCTAGGACTAGTACATATAATGGTAACGCCGCTGCGGGAGACTTTAGTTCCCGGCCGCTAGTTCATATTTACTGATGGATATAAATAAACCGCTTTTATGTTCTTTTAATGAAATATGTCAGTAATTTATAGTCTAATCTCGTCAATCGGCAACACTGGTGTCATCAGATGATTAAATTTCCTAACCTAACATCGATGTATTGTGGCACGTGCATAGCTGTTTGACTTATTTATGAAATTGCAAGAGCCCGTTGCTTATTATAAATAAAATTAACGAATAAAGCCTACAGACGCTAATACTATTACAAGTAAGTAAAGTATAAAAAATATAGGTTATTCCACGCATATACGACTGTTTGGGATTATTGCGACAACGAATATTTTACTGTGCAAGTAGAAGTATGAAAGTAAATTGGTCTAATTATTATTCCAATAAACAGCATCTACTGTTAGTATTACATCTGAACTAAAATTATTTCAGTTAATAGATGTACAAATAGACGCAAAATTTATTGTGAAATTTAATCCGAAAATAACAAAAATTGTTCATCAGACATTTGGGTTGGATTTCGGTGAAATGTAAACAAAGTGCATTTGAAATGTAAACATTTGTAAATAAATGCAAAGAGGCGTGCCGGTTTCTTTGATATATATTTTATTACTTTATTAGGTACTAGAACTGTAATAAAAAATAAATATACTATTTTTATTATAAATGAAAAGAAATTGGCAGAACGATGGTTTAGAAACCAGAAATAGAATCTATATAATAGTTCACTTTGTTAGTTTTAAATATTTGTTTGGTTTGAGTGGATGTACTCTTAAGTTCCGAAAGTTTTTTTATAACGGGTATAATATACCGCTATTGATAGTTAAAGTACCGAGTCGTTACAGATATTAAAAAGTAACGAAAATTTACATACAGTTTCATATATCGCCGACTGATTTTAGTTTTAAAAACCGTCCGTATAGAGGTTTCCGGTGAAGAGAGGTGTCCGTTAAGATAGAGTTTAGTGTAGTTTATTTGTTTATTGAAGCCAAAAATGCCGAGACGTGTTTTAGATGTAGACAAGTTAATATTTAATGTACTTTCTTATTTTACTGCTGAGAAAACCAACGGGGGCCCTTTGCGACCTGTTCAGTCCGTACATAAACGTGTGTGTGTGTGATGCACTCTGTATTAGTGAAACAAAACTAAAGTCGGTTTTGCAAAAAGAAAAAAAAGTGGACAAGGTGAACAAAATGTCGCACAATATAAATCTCGCCGACAACCAAAGACTATAGATCTTCCCGAAGGTTGCAAATTTGAAATCCGTGAGACAATATATAAAATGCGCGAAAAGAAAGAACATGTTTCTTTAGATTCAGTGCTTCAAAAATTAAAAGACAGAAATATATTTGAAATTTCCAGAACAAGTCTCTGGATAGTTTTAAGACAGATTGGCTTTAAGTTCAAAAAGGAAGATAATAGAAATTCTTTGTGTGAAAGAGCTAGTGTCGTTCACAAAAGAATAGAATTTTTAAGAAATTACAACAAATTTAAAGAAGAATGTTCTTCCTTCGTTTATTTAGACGAAACATGGATTTTTGCTAAAAGCGGTATCAAACGAGTGCGGCAGGACGACAGTATAATATCCATAAAACACATCGATAACGAGGAAAAGAGATATATTATAGTACATGCAGGTGGAAAATATGGTTTTATTGAGGGAGCAAATCTTGTGTTTTCATCAAAATCAAAATCAGCCGATTATCATGACAATATGAATACGGAGATGTTTGTTAAATGGTTGAAAGAAAAACTGTTGCCAAGATTACATTTCCTCAATACTGTTTTAAGCCTCAATTACTAACGTTAGCTAAAAGTCATGCACAACCAAACATATATATATATATATATATATATATATATATATATATATATATATATATATATATATATATATATATATAGTAGACGAAATTATACATAGCTTTGGACATCGTGTGTTAAGACTACCGCCCTATCATTGCCAATTCAATCCAATTGAATATATTTGGGGATTTGCAAAACATATTATGATAACCATATTGGATACTAGGGTTACAGTGACGAGGCAGTCTTGGAAACATGGCAACAAGCATTGGATATTGCCACTCCTGAAATTTGGTGAAAAAGTGTAAAAAAATGTGAAGACTTAATTAAAGAATGGTGGATCCGTGAAGGTCGCATCGAAGCAGTTAATCCTATTATAATTTACCATCCAAATGAGGATAGCGACGACAGTGATTATGGCTGTGAATCTGATGGTTGATAATAGTTTTAGGAGATTAGGTGAATAAGAGAATAAGTAAGTTTTTTTGTTTTCTTAATACTAATTGTATATTTGACTAAATAAAGTATACTATTTAACCCCTTAAGTATTGTGACATTTCGTTTAAATCACTTAATTAAAACACCAACTTGTTTAAAATACTAAACTCAATGATAGTAATTATATAATTTAAATTCTGAATTACAACTATTATATAAACTATCAACTCTATATTTATATCATGACTTCATATTTAAATCTAAGGTTTATATCTGTCGTAACAGTATTTTAAAAATGGGGAGAATTTACTATTGTACAATGCAGCACATTGGACCATTTAAGTCGACACCTTAAAGCGAATTTAAAACAGTCGTATATTCGTGGAATGCAGTATAGTAATTATAATGTAGGGTATTTTAGCAAACAATAATCTAGTGGGATTGTTTGTTCCCTACAGTCATTTTATATGAGATCAAAATTAATCATCAGTAATAAACTTTTTCTCTTTCAGATATAAGATGAAACCGGCCTCTTAGTAAAAAAGAGTTAGAAGAAGGTATAAATAATATAACTGAAGTGAAGGAGGAGTTCAAATGAGCGACGAATTGGAGGAAGGTAACAGCAGTACTGAAGAAGCAGTTATAAGCAGCGATGATAAACGCTATTCAATGAACGAAGAAAACGGTAATAATGGAAGTGGTGAAGATACTGACATGAGTACTGATGTAAACACGCATGTTGTAACTTGGAAAATACATTCGAAAACTTTTATACCCAGAAGAAAATTGCCTAAGGAAACGAAGGGTGTCAATCTTTTGAAATTTAACGGACAATGTTCTGAGCTAGATGTGTTTCTAAAATTATTTCCTAGATGCTTGTTTAGAATATCAAACCTAAAGAAAGATAAACACACGAAACAAGACAGAATTAATGTTGATAATCTGCGCATTGAAACCGTTGCGAGAGAGTATAGGAGACAAATGGACGAGGAAATGGAGAGCCTGGAGGTGGGGGAAAATGTAGAGGAACTGTGGACAAAATGTAAAAACATAATAACTGAGAAAGCAACAAAAATATTGGGGAAAACCAAACCAGTTAAAGAAAACGAATGGTTTGACAAGGAGTGCCAAGAAGCAACAGATAACAAGAACAGGGCATACCTAAAGACAAATCAAGCTGGATGCACAAGAAGAGCAAAGGAAGAATACCGGACACTAAAAGAAGAAAAAAACGATTACATAGAAGAAAAAAAAGGCAATTTGAGCAAAAGCAATTGGAAAGCACAGAATGGCTAAGAAAATCAAAATGAAACTCGAAAGTTCTACAGAAATCTAAACAAAATGCGCAAAGAGTTTAAGCAAAGAATAAGGAGCTGTAAGGATGTAGAAGGAAACATCCTAAATGATACGGCCAATCCTAAACAGATGGGTTGAATTTTTCGATGCAAAATTTAATGGCCATCATATCGAAGAAGCAGACAACACCCTAGCAAATCGAAATGATTGGAATCCTTTCAACCCAAACGAAAGACCACCTACCATCGAAAACGTTGCCCAATCCATTAAAAAGCTTAAAAATAATAAATCACCAGGAGTTGATCAAATTTGCAGTGAGCTCTACAAGAATGGTGGCGATGCCCTACTACAGACACTGCATAAGCTTTTACTTCTTGTTTGGCATAATGAGACCATGCCTTGTGAATGGTCTCAAGGCGTGATATGCCCGTTACATAAAAAAGGTGACCAGCTCCAGTGTGACAACTATAGAGGTATAACCCTGTTAACAACTGCTTACAAAATACTAGCAAATATTCTCTACGACAGGTTGCAAGTTTACACAGTGGGCATAGTTGGTAAATATCAAGTTGGATTCACTCCAGAAAAATCAACAATTGACCAGATTCATTCAATAAGACAGATTCTCGAGAAAACATTAGAATTCAATATTGAAACCCATCACATATTCGTCGACTTTAAGGCCGCATACGACAGTGTCAAGAGAACAGTGCTATACCAATCAATGCATGAGTTTGGTATACCAGAGAAACTTATCCGACTAACGAGAATGACAATGTCTAACTTAGAAGCCACTGTTAGAATACAGGGAGAGAGTTCTAGATCCTTTGAGATAAAGGATGGACTCAGACAAGGGGATGCTCTGGCT